TCTCTCTCTCTCTCTCTCTCTCTCTCTCTCTCTCTCTCTCTCTCTTCTTTCTAACTTGTTTGTTCTCACTGGCCCGAGACCGCTTTAATATTTATCATCCTCTTACTTGTTATTCACTATATTGCTTAATATTGGCCGTATAGAGCCTTGCTTAACCATATTCTTAATTATTATCCCATTCCCGACTGCCCCAGATACCTCGAACTCGATCCGAACCTGGACCCCGAGGTCCCTATCGATCGGCCCTGCGGCCGGGCATCAGGCCCTTCGGTTTGATTACTACCTTGTTTTAGCTCGCACTTTATCGTTAAACTTAATATTATTAGCATCAACCGTTCTAACAACTAGCTCAGAAATAGATCACGTATTTTTAGAATCTCATATATAAATCTAATTGTTGTTACCATTTTCACAGTAAACAAATTGGTTATAGCTGAGTACTGGCAAATTATTTGGGATCCGTATTTATTTGCTGCAAGTTATTGTTCAATTTCATTCTGTATTTCCTTTTGCTTTATTATATACTGCTGCAGGTTCTATTGTATATGCTCCGTCGTAGCCTCGTCACTACCTCGTCGAGGTTAGGCTCGACACTTACCAATATATGGGGTCGGTTGTACTGATATTGCTCTGCACTTTCTGTGCAGATTTCGGAGCTGGTAGTGGCTAATCGAGAGGTCGGTTGCTGATACTTCATCCAGGAGACCCAAGGTAGTCCTGCTAGCGTCCGCAATCCTTGGCGTCCCCTCCTATGTTTTCCTTAATTCTGTTTATATCTTTTCGAGACATATGTATTTTCTTCTTTCAAACTCATACTTGTAGTTATTCATAGAATGTTCGTGAGTTGTGACACCCGTTTCTTGGTGGTAACAGTTTTGGAGTTGTTAATAGCTTTTATAAAACTAGTTTTATATGTACTTTCGCCTTTAATCTTGTTCGAATTAGTTTTGTTAATTTTAAATTATGAAATTTAAAGGAAAAGGTGAATATAACTCTAACGTTGTCCTGCCTAGCAAGTGCGATGTTAGGCGCCATCACGGTCCTGGCGGTGGGGAATCTGAGTCGTGACAGTTGGTCAACATAAATAATTAGGACCAAATAAGGTGCATAGATGGCTTGACTATAAGGCCAGTAAAGCAATCGCTTAGGGCCATCTTTTGGGAGGTTTCGGTTTTTCCTTAAAGATATATTGTATATCTGTTATTAAAAAAAAATGAGTGTACATTTAAATTTAAAAAGAATTTTTTTAAGCGAAAGTACAATCACTTTCATGTGAAGATCGTTGTAAAAATTAGAGAATTAAAATAATTTTTAATGAATTATTTCCTTACATGGGTAGGGTAGATATTTTATCGTATTTGTATCATAACAACTAATACAGACTCATAATATTATTATTATTATTATTATTATTATTATTATTATTATTATTATTATTATTATTATTATTATTATTATTATTATTATTATTACCTTTTTTATTCTCTCTTTTACTATTATTATTCTCATCATTGAAAAAGTCTCTCAATCAGCAACTTACTGTGGCTTACAAGTTGTCTTCTTCAAAGCATTATAACAAGCAATCATTTTATCGAAGCAATGCAAAAAATTTCAATATTATTATATCAACTTATCAAATTGATTTACAAACTACTTTATCATGACTTATTCGCTTTCGTTACTTTCATTTTCATCCTGCATTAGATTGATTGTCCTTAGCTGACCTATTTTTTGGCCATGCTTCTCTTGAGCTGAGGGTCTTCCGGAAATAACCTCTCTATCTTGGGAGCTGCGCACACTCGACCTCTCCAGACCCCGCTTTGTATGTTTCCACTGGGTATGTTGTTTTTGTATATTAACTTATCAAATTCTAAGCCGGTTTTATTATTCTACCTTTATTTTATATTTTTTCATTGAAAATTTATCCTTGATATTTTTACTTAGGGCCTCTCTCTGAAATTTGGCTTTAGGCCCCCACAACCTTGTTGAGACGACCTGATAAGGTGTAAAATAAAATTTTGCAAAATATTCAAATTTGCTCCTAAAGTATTTGATTTGCCTTATATTGGTCCTCATGATTATATTCTGTTCATTAAAGTTCCCACAATTATCTTTCGTCTCAAGTATGCTCCTCCCACTAATAATTGTCTAGTTTAGCAATGACATTGGCCATTGTGGAGCCACGTAGATAAACAAAAAATTCTATATTTACCCTTAAACTATCAAAGGTTTATATATATCATCTGTGATAATTTGGAGTATGCCTCTAAAGTCTGAACAATTAAAATATCCAAATATGCTCTTGAATAACTGAAAAAGGTCAAATGTACCCATACATGGCTTCTACCTTAGCAAACCAAATCAGACTAATATTTTCACGGTAAAAAATCGTTAGTGGAAGGGACATATTTGAAACGGAAAATAACAACGGGGGCTTTCGTGTACCGATAGGCAAATGAAGGATAAATGTAAGAGAAATCAGAAACGTTAAGGGTATATTCGAACATTTTTCCTAAGTTTTAAAAATACATAATTGGTCCTAACTGCTTTGCTGACCAACGAAATCTTGATTTGGTCCAGTATTATTTTTGCGTGGTATATAAAAATCTAGAATGAATTCTATCATTGTATATATAACACTATCCTTCAGTTCATTGAAGAATTACGATATAAGTTTTCTATAACATAAAAGATTATATCTATGACTCAAAGACATGCTAAATTAGAATCCAAAAGAGTATTACAACTCTTTAAAGAAAGTAAAAAACTTAAAAATATCATCCAAATAATCGGATTTGGAAAACTTAATTTTTTTTTAAAAAGAAAAGAGAGACTCAAATAAGCTATTCTACTCTTAACTTCAAAGCCTTAAGCTTAGATCCAACCCGTTAGCTTCGTTATTATCAGCACAAACGACCGGAGGTTTGAATTTCAATTGAGACGGATCAGATCTATCCAAAATAGGAAAATCTATCTCATTTGTGTATGATTTTGTAGACTCAGAAGATGTTTCATTTAGGTTCATAGCCATTGAATTTGGACCCCGAACATAGGTCGTCCTCCTTCTTGTCGACTGAAGCATTTGTCGCGGCACGTTTGCGTGCACACCGCCTCTACCATCATTGTTACTTCTAACCGAGTGGGGATATGGCGGTGGTGGTGGCAGCGGGGGTGGTGGTAGCAGATGGTCTGCATGCACACCTCGATCATCATTGTTACTTCTAACTGAGCCTGAAGAATACGGTGGTGGTAGTGATGGTGGCGGCGGCAGATAATTTTCATGCACACCTCTATCATTATTGTTACTTCTACCTGAGCCTGAACGATGTGATGGCGGTGGTAGTGGTGATGGCGGTGGCGGTAGCACTAGATGGTTTACACGCACGCCTCTATCACTACCGTCACCTCTAATAGAGGAAGGACGAAATGATGGTGGTGGTGGAGATCGGGACATAGCTCTTTTCTTCTTCTTCGATCTACGTGAACCTTCTGTGGCGTGTATCTCTCGTTGATGTACTGGATGATGACTTTGAACATGAATCATGAATTCTTGAGAGCCGCGAACTATTTGACGACAAACATGACAACGAAGCAGTGTCGGACGAGTTGACATGCTGAAGAACAAAACAAAAAAAAAATTAAACAATGTTAGAAATGCTAATATTTGAAGTCAAACAAAACATAAAAATTTATCTAAAAAGAGGTAGAGTTGACCTATCTGATTTGTCAGAATGAAGAGATGACACTGAATTATGCAAGTTAATTCTAGAGACTGTATAAAGAATTTATAGGCTAATACACTACTCACCTTCCAACTTATTGTAGATTCCAAATGTTCTATAATGGCAAGTTTATCAATGTAGAATAATACCGTTTTGTAAAATGATATATCTGCAAACAAAACTCGAAATTTAATTGATGTTTTTCCTTTTTAGAGATGTTATTTTCCTTTTATGTTTATAGTCACTGATTGATATTATGCAAAATCTATTAATTTTCTCTAAACATTGGGAGAAAAATATTTTTCCTCTTCTGCATTTTTAATTTTTTGTATTTATTTTGTGGTAAAGGAGAGATATTGCTGAAGAAGGGGTACTCATGATGTTTTAGGATGGTTAAGTGTAACATTTTAAAGGCCTCAACAATTTGACCAACTATAAGCTTAACTAAATAGCGAGCAAAGATCATTTTTAACGCTTACTACTAGAAATTCGAAAAAAAGTGACCAAAAATTTGCGACCAAAATTGGTCTATCAAGAAAAGCGATCAAAGTTGGTCGCTAAATTGGAAAAAATTATTAAATAATTATTCTAAATACATTAGCGACCAACGTTAGTCGCTTTTTGATCGATAATGTGGTCAAAATGTTGACCGGACTGGTCAGACTTGCTTGGAAAAAGAAATATTAAAATTAGCAACCAACTTTGGTCGCTTTTTGATCGATAATGTGGTCAAAATGTTGATCGGACTGGTCAGACTTGCTTGGTCAAAGAAATATTGAAATTAGCGACCAACTTTGGTCGCTAATCTGGGACCCAGTTATAAAATTTTAATAATTATATTATTTAAAAAATTATAAAATATAAATAAATATAATTTAAATTTAGCGACCAAAGTTGGTCGCTTACGAAAGGAGAAGCAGATAGAGACCAACTTTGGTTGCTAATTTGGGACCCAGTTATAAAATTTTAATAATTATATATTTATTTTAAAAAAATATAAAATATAAATAAATATAATTTAAAATTAGTGACCAAAGTTGGTCGCTTACGAAAGGGGAAGCAGGTAAAGACCAACTTTGGTCGCTAATTTGGGACCTTGTTCTAAAATTTTAATAATTATATTATTATTTTAAATATTATATAAAATATAAATAAATCTGATTTAAAATTAGCGACCAACTTTGTTCGCTAATTTTAATTTTTGAATAATTAGCAACCAACGATGGTCACTATTTTTTAACTATTTGACCAAAATAGCCACCAACGTTGGTCGCGATTTCTAGAAAAAAAAATTAAATAACTTTTTTTTCTATTTTAGTTTTTAAATATTATAAGCTATAAAAAATATTATTAGCTATAAATATTTTATTTTATTTAACTACAATTATTATAAATAATTAAAAACTATAAGCATAATCTTTAAAAAAATTATATTAACTAGGTAATTGCTTTTAATAGATTATAATAGCATGTATGTAAATGAATTTTTTAAGTTATATTTTAGTATATAGTAATTTCATACACACGCATAAACTATATTGTAATTGATGATCAATCTTATACATTACTACG